AAATTGTCTTCTTAAAAAAAAAAATTCTATTTGGTAGAAATTTAATTTTAATGTATTGGAATTTTGAGTACCTATCAATAAATAATATATTATCTAAAAGAAGTTATAGCCAAACAAACACGAAATTCTAAATAATAATAGAAAAAAAAAATAAACAAAAAGAAAGGAGCGAATGGGGGTGATGACAGGAATATTAGGACGCCACAACCAACCGCAAGAGTTAAGGATCTGCACATGGAAGAGAGAGAATGTGGTATGGCAAATTGGATGATTTATGCTTCTTCAGATTCCTTTCCCTTTTCCGCGTTCACACCTTACTTACTATTGCCTAAGATTCCTTGCTTCTATCCCCTTTCACACTACGCGTCCACCTTCTTCTCTAAGGCTTCGGCTTCGGCTTCGGCTTCGACTCTCTTTTGATTAACAAATTTTTGAAAAGAAAAATTGCTCAGTCAAACAAACACATATCTTGGCCCCATCATATATGAAAGTTTGATTTAAAGTTCCATTTATATGTAAAGTTAAAACCTATAATTAAAAAAGACTAGAGTATTTTTTCTTTGTTTTTGGGAAACAATTATTTAGATCTTTAAATTCTTCAAGAAAAAAATACTTTTTAAAATTATTTATCTAAATTCAACTAAAAAACTTAGGGTGTGTTTAGTTTTTGCTATTCATAAAGTATTTCTAATAAATAAAAAAACAACTTTACTTATCCATAGTTTTAAATTTTAGGCATGAAAATTGAGAGAGTATTGTGACTAATTGCAAAAAAAATAAAAGTAATATATATTTAGTCATAACTGTTTTGATAAAAGAAAAGATTTTGTTAACAAATTAAAAAACAAAGAACACTTATTGTTAGTCACACTTTTTTTAGAATTATTATACTTAATTTTAAAGGGTATGATATAAGAATAATTTTTTATATAATTTTTATATATTTTAAATAAATATATATATTTAATATCACATATTTTAAATAAATAAAAAAATTAATTATTTAAATAATACATAAAATTATAAAAAAATAAAAAATTATCTTTAAATCATTTTTTAATTTCAAACTTGTTATAACTTAGTTATTTTCCATTGAATTTTTATCTCAAAAATTGATTTTCTTAAACTTTAAGCAAGGTAGTTTGTTGTATTCTTTTTCTAAAAACATCCTACTTAAAAAAGATAACAAAACACGCCCATTAAATTTTTAGTTTTTAAAGTTGAGTCCGATTCTCCATATAATTAGATCAGCTTCAGCTTAAAGCCGACCCATGGGCACCGCTAAACTTCAGCTTTAAAAAAAAGCTGTCATCACATGCATTTCAGTTGAGAGTTGATAAATTCAAGATCCCCAGTTGTGTTTGGTGATGAGGTCAAACATGCATCACCTGCCACCTCAGACGACATCCATCCAACGTGGCATCATTTTTAGGTCTGACTCTTTCCTCCCCCCTTCCCCCACCACCTTTTTCTGCCGTCTTCTATATATCCTCCATTAAACCTCCTCACCAAATCCTAACTCTCTGTCTCAACACCACTAAAAAAAATGGGGAATTGTATCCGACATGAGTCTCCGATGCAATGGGCCGGCGACGATTGGGGGTCACCGGGGGGAGACCCTTTTTTCTCCTCAGAATCGCCGCTCCAAAACAAGGGTTGCGCCATCGGGACGGAGGAGAAAATACGTTCTTCGTCTTCTTCTTCGACGGTTAAGGAGGTGAAGATCAAGATCACGAAGAAGCAGTTACAGGAGATCTTGAGTAGGGTGGATTTGAAGGAATTGTCGGTGCAGCAGGTGTTGGCCCAGTTGGTGAACGTCGGCGATGATAAGTACGAGTCGCATCGTCGGTCGTGGAGGCCGGCGCTGCAGAGCATTCCGGAGGTGAATTGAAAAGGGTAGACTTTCTCTGTTAGGTTGTGTTAGATCGAAGGAAAATGGGAACTAAAATAGAGGGGAACTTTTCTTGCTCTATTTTTCTGGGGGTGGAGTACATATATATTTTTCCTGGGAAAATGGGGTTGGAAGGGTTCTGATTCTGAATATTGAATTTGTTCACTTCTGTACATAAAAGATTCCAGATTTTGGGTGCAGATTAGTAGAAGATTTAATTTTTTTCAAATTCAGTCCTCCTTTTTGTTTTTGTTTTTGTTTTTTTTTTAAAACAGGTGCAATTTGAGAGTAAAGGATGGAAAATTGTAGTATGATAACCATAGAAATGCAACCTTGATTATGGCGAGGGCATTAGATGCAACTATCATGTAGCACACGAGGCTTGGTGCCAAATTCAATCCTTTTTAGAATCGATCTCATTTTATTTTATTTTTTATTTCATTAGTTTAAGATCATGGCCATGAACACGATTACCTAATAATTTGGTTATGATATATGGTTGATGATGACGATGATGACCATAAAATAAATAATTTTATTATTACTATTATTATTATTATTTTATTTTTATTATTTTGGTTGGGACCATGATGGTGTTTCAGGCTCAGTTTAGGTGCCTGTTAAGAGCAAGGTAGTGTTTGGGGTTATTTTTTAAGAATACTTTTTTATATAAATTATTATTAAATTAATTTTAGTTAATAATTAATATAATTTAATAATTATATTAATATTTTAAATTTATTTTAAAACAATTATTAAATTATAATATACTTTCAAACGTAACTTTTTTTTTCTTGATTTTAGTTGTACAATAAAAAACAATCATCTCTCATCTTTTATCTCTCATCTTTTATCTCTTATCTCATGCTATCTGCATGTTATACGACTTGAATTCAAAATCTCTTATTTTTAATAAAAAAAAAATTACTAAATTATTGAAGTAGTTGGCAACATAACTTCCTTTTTAGTTATCTTAAAACACACTCTTATATTTACCTGTTACATGCATTTAAATGAATGAGCAATGCTAGGGGCACTCGCCTCCGGCACTCTCCGGCCAGCACTTTCTCTTTTATTGGCCACGTTATTTTGGTTTCCGAGAGGTTGGTCTGAAAGCTTTAAAGAAGCTTACGTGGCCCAATGAAAGGGAAAGTGTAGGCCGGAGAGTGCAAGAAGCGAGTGCCCGTAGCACTGCTCTTAAATGAATTAATTTTTGTAGTTGCTGACTCTATGATGACGATTGCTAATAATGGATATGACCCATGGGCTTATTGTCATTACTGAAGGTGGGTTGGATTGGGTCAGATTTCCTATTGTTATTAATGATGGTGGGTTGGACTGGGTCAGATGTTAAACAACTGAACTCAAGGTCACGGTTTTGACGGACTTGAGGGGGGATTAATTTTAAAGGGTCCACAATTATCATTAATTAAACTTAAAAAAAAAAAAAAACTAATCTAAGAGCACATGATCATTAATTAAACTTAGAAAGAACAAAAACAAAAACAAAAAAAACAAAAAAGACCCATTTTGAGCCATTCAACCACCAAAGAAAGTGACTTTACCTATGGAGTTTTGTGTTTAGGGATTGTTTGGTTACCCCACTTTTTCACAATGAATGGCTGTAAGTCACCGAACTCGAAAATGGTTTCTGGTGTTTTGGCCATTACAAGCTACCCAAAAAAAAGTGGGATAAGCAAACAAGGTGCTTCTGGCTAATTCCAGAAATGTCTTTCGAGTTTAAACTCTTCTGTATATTTAAATTGAAAGGAATTGAACGAAGGGGATGAAATGAGAAGATTTTCTTACTAATTAGATTACAATATTTAAAAAAATATATATAATTTAATTAGTTACAAAATTTTTCTTATAATCTCTTTTAATTTAAATATACTGTAAGTTTTAACTCTTTTTTAAGTTTATTATAATCAATTAAAACAGGTTTTTTATTGAATCGAAACTAAATCAAATTTAGCCATATGCAATACCTTGCTTAAACCAACAATTTGTTGGTTCAAGTGGAAGGAACTTGATTTTCCTTAAGTAAGATATCGAATTTGAGTCTGGTGAATGAAAAAATAAGTGCTGAAAGAACTTCCTTATATAGGGTTTGACCAGACTCGATTCTAAATTTAGTCAAAACCCAATGTGGTTTCTGGATACCGAAAGTTAGTACTACAAAAAAAAAAAAAAAAAATACCTTGAGATCTTACTCAAAAATATAAATTGGTTATTTTTATTTAATTTTAATATTAAAATTTTAAACATTTTTTTATTAATTTTAATTATTATCTATATTTATTTAAGACATTAAATGATATAAAAAGCTACAATACCGTCAACATATATAATATAACACGGTACTCGTAGACTAAACCTTAGTTGACAAAACAAAACTTTTTTTTTTTTTTCTTTTGGTTGTTAAGGTTAACATCCAAATTAGTTAAAAAATAGACCTTGATAATATTGAACTTTTCACAATCTTTTAATTTTAGTGTAATTTTCCTTTGAAAAAAAAAATTCTGGGTCATCAATGGAGACTGAAGCTATTAACTTATTTTAATTTGATTTCGTCAAAGTGATATTATGAAATGGGGAATTGCCAACTTCATGATAGGATGTACATGCAGTGTTTGAGGCAGATCTTTTTTTTTTTTCATAATTAAACAGTGTTATTTTCTTGTAGGGTGAATATATGAAAAAAAATTTCAGATAACCAAAAATGTCAAACTTCAAACTTTTGAAAGCTAGTGTCTAAGAGTTTGCTCCAGTGATATATTCCTCATCCTCAAAATATAGACAAAAAGGGTTAAAATTAAAATACTGCATAGTA